AGCTGTGTTGCGTGGAACAGAGAGATGCCGCCCAAATGGTATCCCTGTGTCAGCCTCTGCAAGACACAGGATCACTTGCATGCAACACAGGGTTGCCACCCAAATGTCACCCCTGTGTCAGCCTCCGGACACCACAAGATCACTTGCATGCAACACAGGGCTGCCACTCAAATGGTATCCCTGTGTCAGCCTCTGTAAGACACAGGATCAGTTGCATGTGATGCAGGGTTGCCGACAAAAATGGTATCCCTATGTCAGCCTCGAAACACACAGAATCACTTTAATGCAACCCAGGGTTTCCGTCCAAATGGTATCCCTGTGTCAGCCTCTGAACACACAGGATCACTTGCATACAACTCAGGGCTGCCAGCCAAATGGTATCCCTGTGTCAGCCTCTAAACACACAGAATCACTTTAATGCAACCCAGGGTTTCCGTCCAAATGGTATCCCTGTGTCAGCCTCTGAACACACAGGGTCACTTGCATGCAACACAGGGTTGCCGCCAAAATGGTATCCCTGTGTCAGCCTCTAAACACACAGAATCACTTTAATGCAACCCAGGGTTTCCGTCCAAATGGTATCCCTGTGTCAGCCTCTGAACACACAGGGTCACTTGCATGCAACACAGGGTTGCCGCCAAAATGGTATCCCTATGTCAGCCTCTGAACACAGAGAATCACTTTAATGCAACCCAGGGTTTCCGTCCAAATGGCATCCCTGTGTCAGCCTCTGGACACCACAAGATCACTTGCATGCAACACAGGGTTGCCACTCAAATGGTATCCCTGTGTCAGCCTCTGTAAGACACAGGATCAGTTGCATGTGATGCAGGGTTGCCGACAAAATGGTATCCCTGTGTCAGCCTCTAAACACACAGAGTCACTTTAATGCAACCCAGGGTTTCCGTCCAAATGGTATCCCTGTGTCAGCCTCTGAACACACAGGGTCACTTGCATACAACTCAGGGCTGCCAGCCAAATGGTATCCCTGTGTCAGCCTCTAAACACACAGAATCACTTTAATGCAACCCAGGGTTTCCGTCCAAATGGTATCCCTGTGTCAGCCTCTGAACACACAGGATCACTTGCATACAACTCAGGGCTCCCTGTGTGAGACAGGAGGCTGGATTGGATGGACCACTGGTCTGATCCAGCAGGGCTCTTCCTATGTTCTTATTAAGGCCTTGTCCTCTCTGCCCTGTTGTTGGCCCTCCAGAGGAACTGGCTGGTCACTGTGCGAGACGGGGTGTTGGACTGGATGGACCACTGGTCTGATCCAGCAGGGCTCTTCTTAGGTTCTTATCAGGGGAAGGCCTCGGCCTCTGTGCCTTCTTGTTGGCACTCCAGAGGAACTGGCTGGCCACTGTGTGGATAGACATAAGTAAACTTGATAATGACGATGACGCTTCTCGAGTGGTTGTTGTCAGAATTTAAGACTTGTTAGCTGTGTGCTGTTGAAGCAGCACTGGATAAGATATCACTACTGAGTGTAATAAGACAGCCAGAGAACTGAATTTTGGTTGATAAAGAGTTCTATCGAAACGAACAACCACTCGAGATGTTCGTCTCCACTCTTATTGATGTCATCTTCTGTGTATGACGTCCTGTGTTCTGAAAAACAAAGGAATTAAACATCAAGAAGCGTCGTCATCATTATCAAGTTTACTTATGTCTATTCATTTTTGTGTGTGAACTTTACAGCAATTTTCTATCTGTTTATGTATGTACTTTGAATTGCTGGTCCCCTTACTATTTACCTTGGCCACTGTGTGGGACAGGAGGCTGGACTGGATGGACTACTGGTCTGATCCAGCAGGGCTCTGCTTATGTTCTTATGAAGGCCTCAGCCTCTAGGCCCTGTTGTTGGTCATCTGGAGGAACTGATTGTCTACTGTGCAAGACAGGAGGCTGGACTAGATGGACTATTGGTCTAATCCAGCAGGCCTTGTCTTATGTTCTGATTACAGCTCCGTGGCAACAGCTGAATGGTCCTTCTGTTCATTTCCAGGAGAGCTGCCATCACATACAGCACCCTCATGAAATACGATATCCTAAACTTGTCGGAGAAAGGGTGGGATAAAACTGTACTCGATAGTACATTTTGCATATCTGTATGGAGACGGACACCTTTTATGACCTGTGGAGGGACGTGCCTTCCTTCCCCACTAAAACACTCTGCAATCTCTTCTCCCCACGCCAGTATCGACTGGTGCTAATGTGGAGACTGTGGAGGAGTTAATGGCATGTTTAGGGCATCTCATGGTCTGATGGCCGCTCCGGCCTCCTAATCAATGAGCCATTACTCGCTTTTATCTTCCCGTTTTCAGCAGTTTCACTTTGCGGGGAGTTTTTTATTACAAAGGCTGTGTGGCTGGCAGCCCGTTGGGAGATTTACGAGAAAGAGTTTGTCCTCTGTTTGCAAATGCTGCCCTGATGCATACTAGCTAGGTATGGCTGGTGGCCAGTCAGGGGTCAGAGAAACCCTCTGGGAGTGCCACTGGCTGGAAGCTGAAGCAGCTGTGTTGCGTGGAACAGAGAGATGCCACCCAAATGGTATCCCTGTGTCAGCCTCTGCAAGACACAGGATCACTTGCATGCAACACAGGGTTGCCACCCAAATGTCACCCCTGTGTCAGCCTCTGGACACCACAAGATCACTTGCATGCAACACAGGGTTGCCACTCAAATGGTATCCCTGTGTCAGCCTCTGTAAGACACAGGATCAGTTGCATGTGATGCAGGGTTGCCGACAAAAATGGTATATCCCTATGTCAGCCTCTAAATACACAGAATCACTTTAATGCAACCCAGGGTTTCCGTCCAAATGGTATCCCTGTGTCAGCCTCTGAACACACAGGGTCACTTGCATGCAACACAGGGTTGCCGCCAAAATGGTATCCCTATGTCAGCCTCTGAACACAGAGAATCACTTTAATGCAACCCAGGGTTTCCGTCCAAATGGCATCCCTGTGTCAGCCTCTGGACACCACAAGATCACTTGCATGCAACACAGGGTTGCCGCCAAAATGGTATCCCTATGTCAGCCTCTGAACACAGAGAATCACTTTAATGCAACCCAGGGTTTCCGTCCAAATGGTATCCCTGTGTCAGCCTCTGAACACACAGAATCACTTTAATGCAACCCAGGGTTTCCGTCCAAATGGTATCCCTGTGTCAGCCTCTGAACACACAGGATCACTTGCATGCAACACAGAGCTGCCAGCAAAATGGCATCCCTGTGTCAGCGTCTGTAAGACACAGGATCAGTTGCATGAGATGCAGGGTTGTCGCCAAACTCGTATCCAGGGCTATTTTGGGGCAGGAACGCACAGGAACGGAGTTCCGGCTGGCTCCCAAGTTGGCCACGCCCAGCAGGAACTCATTAGCATAATAGGCCACACCCAACAGCAGAAACTCATTAGGATTGGCTACATCAGGGGTGTGTGGCCTAACG